AGAACCTGAGAGACATACTGAAACTCAAGTTTCTTTTCTATGTATTATTCTTGTTATCCTAAATAAGAATATCTGCTCTTCTTCATATAGCATCTACTCCTCTTCTCCCCTCCACTTCTGAGAATGCTTCCCCTTTCAGCCCTCCTGACTACTGGTACACGCTCAAAACCTGGTTCAGGGCCAAGAAAAGCAGGGGAACCCAGCTCACCTGAGATGATGCTTGGAGAAGTGAGGCTCCAAAGTCCTGGTCTCTGACGAGCCTCTCCTCAGGTCGGGCAAGAAGCTGGGAGGCAGCCATCACTGAAGTAAGAAACAGGAAGTTTTAAGAATCTAGATGTCCTCCTCAGCCACTCCCAAGAGGGTACTGATAAAAAAAAAAATAAAAAACTTGACAAATTAGAACTGATACCTGTTCCTTCATCCATGATTTCAACATTTGTTTTACATAATTAACAAAGTTCAACTCCCTCCAACGTTCCAGATAGTCTCACCCAAATTTTCTCCCACCTTCTTGCTCAGATCCAAAATCCAAATGGTCTAGCACAGACATAAAGTGGTGTAAAATGCAGACTTTAAGTGTCAAAATTGGCGTGATTCATGGAAGTCTACCGTTTCCAAATTTTCCAGGGACAAGTCAATCTGAGCATATCATTTTAAACTCACACAACCACAACCCCTAATTTTCTCCAAGAGCACACCATACCACCATAAATAATGACTGCCCCTCACCTAACTCTTGCTCAGCGTCAGATTCCTCTTTCACGGCATGACTCAGTTGCTCCGCAGGCTCTGAGGCTGAACTTTGATGTCGCACCTCTTGAGGCACCACTTCATGATGGGACTCTGCCTCCCTCACTTGGCAGCCTGGAGATTCCATCTTCTCTGAGATTTCCTGTCCTAGAACTTGGATGCTGATCTAGAGACCATATATTACTAGTTACTGAAGGATCCAGAGTCAGGATTTCTGAAAGACATGAAGCTAACCTTCTACAACAGACTATAAGACAGTCCTTAGGGATGTGGAATGGGGAAGGAGAAGGCCAGCTTTTCTTTCTTGTTCAGCAGGAGCCAGATGAGCACAAACCGAGATATCCCAAGAGTCTAAATGCTGAGGCCCGAACCAGGCCTGGAAGACCTTCAAGACAGGCAACTAATACTATGTTTCTATTGGACATCTCCACCAATTAAAACTATTATGAATAAACTCAAACGTTCTAGTATAAAGATGGAATGGGATGGGAGATCTTACCTTCATTCCATAATAGCTAAAAAGTGTTGAGAGTCACACACACAAAAAAACCCAAAACCAAACCCATTGTCATCGAGTCAATTCTGACTCATGGAGACCCCATGTGTTATAGAGTAGAACTATACCATCAAGTTTTCTTAGCTGTAATCTTTATGGCAGCAGATCACCAGGCCTTTCTTCCACAGTGCCACTGGGTAGATTTAAACTGCCAACCTTTAGAATAGTAGTTGAGCACAAACCATTTGCACCACCCAGGGACCAGAGTCACACAGAGCTTTAGAAGTAGGTGAGGGATGGGGACGCCCTGATGAGACCCCAAATAACAATACCCTGTGCTTACCCACTGCCACAGTCTCCGGGGGTCTCCCTTCAAGCTCTCTACTAGGGTCACTGCCTCCTCTCCGCTGCCTGGACACTGTTTCCGCACCCACATCTGGATCTCCCCAGGCAGGATGGTCAGGAACTGCTCCAACATGAGGATCTCCAGGATCTGTTCTTTGGTGTGAACTTCTGGCTGCAGCCACTGGAA